TCTAATTGTGCCAATAGCACCCTAACTTTACATTTGATTTATATTACACTTCCTATCACCTCACCCCTTCTCCATATCTCTCCCCATTCCCCCCCTCTTCCTGTCCCACCTCTCCAGAATGTAGTAATTTCATCGAGCAAGTTTGGTATCTGACCTTCCAGAATTGGTAATGATAAAGACTTGAGACAGTCTAATGATAAAGACAGAAAAGACTTAAGGTGTGTGTTTTCTTTTGCCTTTTTCTTACTTATTGCATGCAATAACATACACGTGCACACGAGAAGTCACAATAACATGGCTGAAATATGTTGACCAAACACCACACACTAGATAGTGAAGGGACGACAACGTTTCGGTCCGTCCTGGACCATTCTAAAGTTGATTGAGAATGGTCGAGGACGGACCGAGACGTCGTCGTCCCTTCACTTTCTAGTGTATGATTTGGTCAACATGCACGTTATTGTGACTCCTCATCTGCATATTAATAGGGTATTAAAAGTATCAACACGAGACAGAACACGAAACGATGGGTATAAATTGGAGAAGTTTAGATTTAGGAAAGACCTGGGTAAATACTGGTTCGGTAAAAAGGTTGTCGATTTGTGGAACCAATTACTGCGTAACGTGGAGGTGGAGTCTCTTGATTGTTTCAAGCGTGGGTTGGACATGTATATGAGTGAGATTGGGTGGTTATAAATAGGAGCTGCCTCGTATGGTACGATAGGCCTTCTGCAGTTACCTTTATTATGTTCTTAATGTAGTTACAACAGAAAATGTTTATTTTGTCGGTGTGATTCATCCAGCCCAGAGCAAAATTTTCATGTTAGTGAGGTTTTGTTAAAACAAGATGCTGTTGAAATGATGTTTTACTATTATTGAAAGTAGGCACACAAAACAAATAGGGTATTTGGTAAATTCTGTATTTAATCAATGAGTTTCTATAATTTATCTGACTTAGAAAATCTACACTACAAAATTCAACTATATTATCACAGTGACTGACAAACTGAACAAGCTGCAACTAAACAATATCTGACCTTCGTAATGCATACAGAAAAAATTCACAGCCCTAAAACTCAGATCTGCATAGATTCAAATGCTTTCCATGCCATATATACAGTAGACCAACAGTATGTTATCTTATTTAAGCTACTCCATTTAATATATTTTCTTGAAGACAATGCAACTACCTTCAATTCAGTTGTAAATACAGTACTGTATAATGGTATCAAATAAGTATATGAACTACGTACTCTCCTGGAAAATATTTTACCAATAATTCAGTTCTTTCTTGAATTACTGCATTCCATATTTAAGAATATGTACCCCATATTTAAGAGAGATCTTGAGAATTTTAAGTGTCAAAATTAAAATTTAACGAAAGTGTTTAATTGACGTTGAACAAAACTAAATGAATAATCTTGAAACTGTAATTCCAGCATTGTAGTCATAAACATCCACACCAGAAACTAACACCAATCCTAGTTTATTTAAGTTAAAAGCATTCTGGTTTTTCTCATTCAATAATGTTAAAACTTTGTAAAATTTAGTGTAATTGTCGGTATATTATTCACCATTTAATAGTTTCAGGGACCTTCCCCATCCTCCCAAATGGAACCTTAACCAAACCTAATGGTCAGTTCACCTGACCAACCAGGAATTTTGGCACTTGCAGCCCACAGTCTATCATTGGCACTAAAGGATGGCTCATCCATCACATCTTGAAAATAGCCATATTTCTTAATTCTTACTGGCATTATGAAAGCCTCATGCCCTGTAATATTAATCCCAAACTATACTGCACCTCCTACATTTCAACGGATCTACAGTATCTTATATTTAAAGCTTGGAACCAGTCTCAACTGTAAATTAAACTGCAAGTGTAGTGTTGCATTTGCACCCCCTCCCCCTCCCCCCACCCCTGCACCAATTAAATGTGTGCACTTCATGCAGTTCAATGTTTGTTTTACATGGTCACACTTAGTACATTGTGTTGCAAATTATAAATATCCCATTGGGAGGCTCAATGTAGGTTATACTGAATCTAGTTTCTGACCATGATCACATAACCATGGTTCAGTTAGTTCATTTTCATACATGAATGAAACCCCATTGGTTGATTTTTTCTAGTTTTAATTTGTAATCTGCTGCATCATCACACTACTGACTATATGGCAATTTTGTCTTTATCAAGTCGTTCGAATAAATTACAGGAGAAATCTAAATAGCTTCAAGCATATGAAATCACATGAATGTGATGTATCCACGAGAATATATTTAGGCCAAACGATAAGATCAATCCCATTCCCAGGAATATGCACTATTAACTAAACCATTATGAGCTCAAAATAAGTCTACTATTAGTACCAGTACTATGAGACTTTCGTCTGGAGTCTGTAAGACACTTTAGTATTCCAGTCCGAGTTTTGCCGACTATCAAGTGTTGGCAGACGTCTTGTACAACTAAAGCCTGGTAGTACAGTACTTCTAATCAAGCTATTTTGAACTCATGATTTAGTTGGTAGTGTGTAGTGCCTGGGAATGTGGGTTTTATCCCATCATATAGCCTCAATATTTCCCCAACTTCAAGCATTTTAAACCAAAGTACATATTAGAGTTTTGAATTGTAATATGCTTAAATGAGAGAAAAATAGAATTGAAAGGTTAAGAGGTATGGCATTAGAACGTATACTTCTTGCACTTTATGTAGCATTTCAAGATAAACTTTTTACCAAATCATTTTGGTCTTCAGTTTGACACTTGTTTCACATATAATTTTCACTTATGAAATAGACGCAGAGGCATGTTTAAAATGGAAGGCGAACATCCATGTGAATGTGCCGCATATGAGCTTTCAGATTGCCTTTAGTTGCTGAACGATGTGGACAGTATGGACAATTAAAAGGTTTCTCCCCAGTATGAGTTCGCAAATGTCGTTCCATATCAAGCTTGCTTCGAAAACCCTTTGGACAGACTGGACAGAAGAAGCGCACTGGGGCTCGAATGCTCTGAGCCATGGAAGGAAGAGGCATTGCTGAGCCATCCAGCTGACCAGGTACAGATGATGACTGAGTCAGGCCACTCATCCCTGAGCTGTGCAACGGGAGAACCTGAGAAGCGTTGTTTGTAGCCGATGGCTCTAGCAGTTCCTCCGAGCATCCGCCAGTGCCCTCCAGAATCTGCAGCAGCTGCCCACACATCATTCCTGAGAGCCCCTACAGAAGAGAACAAAGCCAGTCACTCTCTTTGTCTGATGCTATTGGTGCAACAATGCATCTTTGAAACCGTTAAGTAGAAATGACGAGAGCCTGTATTGTGATCAGCAGTCACCTCAATTCTTTTGTTATATAGGGCATAGCTTGTCATTGTGGACATTCTTGATATGGGCCTTGAGATTTCCTTTTTGTGCCATGCAGCGCTCACAATAGGGGCATTTGTAAGGCTTCTCGCCCGTGTGGGTCCGCGTATGCCGACCCAAATCTGCTTGGCTGCGGAAACGCTTCAGACACACGATGCACTGGTGTCGCAAAGCCACAAGACTCAAGTCTCTGCCATCATCTTGCAAACCCCACTTGGGCCAAACATCCTGCAGAGAAAACCGCAGTCTCAGCACCATTCAACGTAGCCACACGTTATCGTCACATGTCTTGACAAATGGGTCTGATCCTATCGTATAACCACTGCTTCATGCATTTTCATTTTTATCCATGAATATTACAATAATTGAGAACACTGCAGGATACATAGAAAAAATCCAGATATGTTTTGCATGTCCAGACCACATACGAGTGTTTTTTCTTCTTATTTTCCAGTAGAATAACAATCCAAAATACAAAAAGCTAAAGAAAACCAATGACCAATACAGAAACTAACCTTTACAACCAAACAACGCCCATCACTTAAAACTTTCCCTGTCATTGACGCTCGCACCATCTCCCTCAATTTTCCTGTTCTGTCTGACTTGGTACAAAATCTATGCTCAAGTCTTAGTTAGTTTTTATTTAACAAATTTCTCCCAAAGTAGAAAGTCAGTCAAGTTACACTGCTGACTCTCTAACAACCAATTAAATAGGACACTGGTTAAATTAAGTTTCCACAACTTGAGGTGGAGCATTGCGTAGAGCTGGTAACACGGTAGGGAGAGACTACAGTACAGAGAGCCGCCACCCACAGAGGCCCACAAGGGACCACAGGACAGAACAGACGGGAAGCACCCCACACCACACCCGTGCTCATACTTGCCAGTCTGTCACACACCAGTCTTCCTGGCATTGTCATGTTAGTAATGACAAGCAATAAACCCCATAAATTAATTTTATTCAAAAATATATTCCCCTGTGAACTGCAATCACTGATTGATTAATGCTTATCGTAATGTGACTTTACAAACTGCCAAGCTTAGTGCACACAGCATTTTGAAGATTCTAAATTATAAGAGTACTATTAATGTCAATTTTACAAGATAAATTATAATGAAAGCCAATAACAGCTTCTCTACATCAAGACAAAATGACATTATTAGTAACTCCAATGAATATGGCATAAATGAAATAGATAAAGGAAACTGTCAAAACTCCTTATAACGACAATTTTTTTTTATTAAAAATGTAGTACTGAACTAAAGCCAATTATGTAACTTTCAGATGATTAGAGTATAAATGTTATAAGGAGAAATCACTAAGTGTAGAAATACAATGAATGCAAACAAGAGCTTCAAAAAATCTTTACAAATTTAATCAAATAGAATCTCAAAGTGCAAGAAAAAAGAAGTTCTTGTTTTCACTCATGGACAAAACAAAGAAAGCTCCTCTTTAGTGGACCAAACTGAATCTCGAGTACTGAAAATACCTGGAAATAGCATCACAAGTTAAAAAAAATGACAACTGATTAAAAAGTAAGAAACCATCAAAGGTCACATTACCAGAAAACAAAGATCTTCATTTTAGGTGACCATGCAATAATGAGGAGCTTTCTGAGTAAAACACTGATTACACACTCACCCCTTGAGGTTGCTGACCAGCTGGTAAATCTCCAGAGAAGCCTTCTGGAGGGAAACTGCTAGAGTCTCCCTCATCCCATGGGAGATCTCCCTAGAAGAAACAAAAGTATTCTTTGTAAGCCATATATAAAAATATAAATTTGTCTCTTTCTTTCTAAAATTCCTACAAATAATAAACTTTTTTTATGGTAGAGGATGTGTTTTGAGACAGCCTGCAAGTGACCGACAATTTATGTGGCTTTGGATAAAGCAGTTTTAGATTCGAGTTTTCATTTCACCTTTTGAAAAGATTATCTAATTTTTTGCATTATGCAGGGTTGAATGTAAGTTGATGGATAATCTATACGTTTTATGTGGTGTCGGTTCATGTTAGCGCCCACATTAGAAACTTCATAAGCTCCCCAATCAGATGTAAATTGAATCTTTCAATGGGCCACAGATAATATGATGTTTAATGAAAATAAGTTCCAGCTCTTGCACTATGGAAAAAAAAGGAAAAACTGAAACCATACATAAAACGGAATAAAATCACACTATAGAACGAAAAAGCAATGTAAAGGATCTGGGAGTAATCATGTTGGAAGATCTTACACAATAAAGTAGCTGTAATGACTGGAAGAAAAATGAGAGGAAAGAATGACCTTTACCATTAGAATCCACTCTATAAAACATCTTAATTATTGGGACTGATTAAAAACTCATAATCTGTATTCCCTAGAGAGCAGGCGAGAGATACACAATAATCTACATGTGGAAGACATTACAGGGAATGGTTCCAAATCTGAACACAGATTACATCACATGAAATCAGTAGGCATGGCAGGATGTGCAAAATAGCCCCATTGAAAAGCAGAGTGCAATAGGTATGCTGAGGGAGAACTCCATCAACATGAAGGGTCCAAGACTTTTCAACACTCGTGCTACACGCAAGGAGCATAACTGGCCGTCCTCTCACAGTGTTTGAGAGAGAACTTGACAAACACCTCCAAAGAATAACTGATCAACCAGGCTGTGATTCATATGCGAGGCTGCAAGCAGCTGCATCCAACAGCCGGCTTGACCAGACGACCACAATCGGGAAGCCTGGTCGGAGACCGGACCACAGGGCCATTGATCCCCAGAAGCTACACAAGGTAGGTTCCAAGATGTTTGAGGGATTTAAAAGGGTCAATAATTCTAAAGTTTTGCCGAATACATTTAAGCAGCAAAATTTCTTTTACATTCTCTGTCAGTAACTTTTCCAGCTTCGAATAGAGCTGGTATGTGCAATAATATTCCACCGTGTTAGTCTTTACTCTTCCACTGCGTAAAACAAGCGATGTTCTCAGTAAACCCGTAAGCTGAGTGACACAGTTTTTTAAGTACAGTGTGAGATTTGAAACGCCAGCAGGTACATGGGTCTCATCTGCTTCCTCAAGCATCCAGTAAACAGACACCATCTAGGAAAAAATCGTGGGTGAGAGACTGCAGCTCTCGGCACCACCATGCAGATTGTACTAACAGCATTACTTAATAATGACAAGGTAAATAAATAACTGCAATTACTTTGTGGCGATTGTCATAGAAGGTCCAAAATGTGAAAAAGATTATGTACAACGTTCAGGTATCAGTGAACGCAATGCTGGCTATGATGAACACATCACAAGGCAGACAAAATCAGCCATGGTTTCATCCACCTATTCATCATGTAACAGGACCTCATATTCCTTTAGAAAACATACTTGTGGAAAATGAGTCATATTCATGAGTTAGTTTCAGGAATCTGATAATACCAGTGTTCTGTCTAGATTTAGTGATACTAGAGGTATTTTGCTGTGCCAGGTGGCATTGTCTGCTGGAAGCATGTGGCACTACGCTGTCCTTGGTTATTACCATACCCACTGTAAGTTCTTAGTCGTTCATCGTGGTGTATCGAAATACAGTCATATATATGACAAGTGTATATATATCATGTTATAGCAGCAAAATCTGTTGCTATGTAATAAAACTGATTTTGATAGTTTATTGTTGAAAGAATATCATGTGTGCACATTGGTGACAAATATATCTGTGCATATCTATGTTCTACATGTTCTGTAATACATTACTGACAGCCTAATAATGCATCATTGCACTTGAAAAAATGGCAAATACCCAGATAAAGCTGTAGCTGGCTGTTGCATTGACCTTTTAAATGACAATGTGATGTCTTACTACAGACAAGTGTTAAAATATAGGGAAAATGCTTGGTTGATGATGATCATCATCATCAACCTCAAGCTACCAACCCGTTCTCGCAAATTCGTATAGTCAATATTGACTTATTAAATAAGTGCATAGGTGACATACTAAACATAATAGTTTCCCTTGAAAAGCTTCATAGAAAACACCGACCTTACCTAACCTACTTAGTATGTTAAGATAAGCATCTTATTGCTTCGTAATTACAATTATTACCTAACCTATACCTATAATAGGTTAAGTAACAATTGTAATTACGAAGCTATAAGATGCTTATTTTAACATACTAAGTAGATTAGGTAAGGTCGGTGTTTTCTATGAAGCTTTTCAAGGGAAACTATTATATTTAGTATGTCACCTATGCACGCAACTAATAAGTCAATATTGACTTATTAAATTTGCAAGAACGGGTTGAATAAGTATATGGGAGTTAGACAGCTGCTACAGGCTGCTTCTTGGGGGGGGGGGGTAACAAAAAGGTTTGGTCTAGGACCGGGCCACGGGGACGCTAAGCCCCGAAATCATCTCAAGATAACCTCAAGAAGAAGAATAAGCCTCATGGTTTCATTCTGAATCAGCTCTAGTATAAGACAATACCCTGTACAAGACAAAACAGGCACTGCTTAGTCTATCAGAAATCGAATAGTGCTTATGTATAGCATCTGCAAGATAGATACTCCAACAGCTTTACCAGGAAATGCTAGCACCATTTGAGAATGCAGTCAAGCTTTACATAAGGGGCTGATATAATTTATTTCAGCATTTTTACCTTTGCATGTGTATCCAACATATATGCCCAGATACATATACTTCTGAACACGGCTCAGTTCCTTGCCATTTAGTATTATACTTTTTTGTTTCTTTGATTTATATTAGTTTTTTTCTGCATTTATAACCAAGCTTGTCACAGGTTGCTCCAAGAATGTTAATTAATAGCAGTTTGAATTGTTAGCAGAAGTTGCTTGAATAAGAATGTCAGAATGCTGCTAAGAATGTCAACAGCATATATGATTCTCGTGAGCCCTGGTATATGCATATATGATCGTCGTGATCTCTGATGCTAATTTGTTAATACGTTGAATAAAGAGGGAATTAAAACTCCCCCTTGAGGGAATTGAAACCTCCACAAAACACATGGCAAACATGGGTTCAGAACAGTGAGCTCCTGCCACTCAATTGCTAAGACGTATTTATGACATGGCTTCTTTGGATGCCATGGAAAAAAAAAAAACACTATGTAATACTATATACACAGATTTTGCAAAAGCTTTAGACAAGTGTGACAATGTTATTATTGCACACAAAGGAATTACTGGCAAAGTAGGGAGATGGATCTTTAACCTCCTAACAAACAGAACCCAGTGAATCAACAAAATAAAATCTGAATCATCTAATGTGAAAAACTCATTCCCCCAAGGTACTGTGCTTGCTCCGGTACTTTTCATCATCCTCACATCAGACAAAGTTACAAACTATAGTACAGTATCATTTGCAGATGATAATTTAGGAGATTTAGAAATTAGATTTAGGAGTAATCATGTTGGAAGACCTTACTTTTAAAGAACACAACAAAGTTGCTGTCACGACTGTAAGAAAAGTAATAGGTTGGATAACAGGAACCTTCAAACAAGAGATGCCATGCCAATAATGATACACTAGTGCTCTAGAGTGGAATATTCTTGCACACTTACAGCCTCATTCAAAACTGGAGAAATTGCTGATCTGGAGAGAGTGCAAAGAGCTTTCACTGCTAGAATCCACACAATAAAACATCTAAATTACTGGGACCGCCTAAAAACTTTGAATCTGTATTCCCTAGAGCATAGGCTGGAGATACATAATAATTTACACATGTCAATATTAGGAGGACCAATTCCAAATCTACACACAGAAATAACACATTTACATTCACATCATATAACAAAGCTGTCGAAGAAATTAGAAAATTCTTTTTCGCAAACAGTGGTAGATGGTTGGAACAAATTAGGTGAGGTGGTGGAGGGCAAAACCGTCAGTAATTTCAAAGCAATATATGACAGAATGCTGGGAAGACAGGACACCAAGAGTGTAGCTCTCATCCTGTAGCTACACTTCGGTAATTACATGAGACCAGAAGGCATGACAATGTGCAAAATAGCCCCACTGAAAAGCAGAGGAACAATAGGAATGCTGAGAGAACTTTATAAACAGCCACATCCCAAGACATTTCAACACACTCACCCTACACATACTTGGCCTAACTGGCCAACCTCTTGCAGAGCTCAAAAAGAGTGCTCAACAATCACCTTCAAAGGATACCTGATCAACCATGCTGTGAGCAGCAGATCAGACCAGTAACCAGAAGGCTTGGTCAGAGACTGGGCCATAGGGATGTTGATCCTCAGAATTATCACAAGGTAGTTCATAATGGTGCATGAAACTGTAGACTTATGTATACTGTGTAATACCAAAAACTATGTTTTACTGCTCTATGAAAATAATACTGTGCACATGTTAGTGACAAATATATTTCAGTGTTCCAATGTTCCACATACTATTATATAAATTTACCACACTGCACATTATGGAATAAAACTGCGAGAAAAAACAATTCACTTTGAGAAATAGAAACAAATATCTAAAAAAAAATCTTTGCAGCAACTCCAGCCCCATGCCTGACCCCAGGCAACCAACTCGAGACAAAAACTCTTTCTGAACTCTCATGAATCACGAGGCTTGCCCATTCCATCATGGTCAAGGTAAATTGCATACAACTGTTTTTCCCCATGGTCAAGGAATGCATTTTTAGCAAACTTAGAAAGAAAAAAGATGGCTGGAATCTTATTTTTTCTTGCACATTGGGAGTGCAGCCCAATTTGTGACATGACAAGC